AATCATCAGAAGAAGGGAGAGATGCTGTTACACAGTAGGAGCAAGCAGAATATATTTGACACCCAAGTGATCCACGTGGGGGCTCAATTTTGATGAGAAACGATCATATAGAATAACTTTGGCCAAAGAAAAGTATTTCTCATGGATATGGTTTTCAGTCATTTCATCAGTTGAGCTCTGAAGCCCAGTCAAGGGGAAGAATAATCTAGAATGTATAGTGCAGGAGAGATAAAGAGTATTACTTGTGGCATTGAACCCAGCTGCAGCAGCAGAGGCTGTAGGTCACTCTTATCAAACATTTTATTCTAAGCCTCCTCCAGAAAGAAAGATTCACCAGAATCTTAGAGAAGATGTTTTCCAGACTTATATAAAAAAGTGGATTTCAGCAAACAAGGAGTTGACCATATTGGACATGAAAGTATGCCATATAGACTTCTCTTCAAGGAGGGACTTGTTCTAGATGCTAAGTATCCTGTAAGCACACAGTCTTCAGCTTTTTGTTCCTTCAAGGACTATTTTAGTTTCAGAGATGTCTTGCACTATATCCTACCCTTTTATTTTGCACTTTTTCTGGTGAGCTCATATTCCATGATTTATCAAAGTAGATATTTTACAACTCTAATGGCCATTTTAGCTCAAAATTTCCTTGCACGTTCAGCCAAGGCTATTGTTATTTGGGCCTGCATTTCAGCTTGATTTCTAACTCTGCCCAATTTTGCTTCCTTTCCTTCCCTTCTACAGGCATTAATCCCAAGGACACTCTCTAATAAACAGACTGTATAATAAACTCTGTTTCAGGATCGACTTCCTGGTGAATTAGACTTGCTATAAATTTCTGTATAAGTTTGAGAAAGGCTAGTGTTATAGACGCAATATATGTGTACTCCAATATTCATATGCTGCAGTGCTAGCCCCAAACTGACTGTGTTTGGAGTAAGGTAATAATTAAGATTGGATGAGATCATAAGAATAGAGCTCTGATTTGATAGAATTAATGTCCCTATAAGAAGAGACACAAGAGAGCTCTCTCTCTCTCTCTAATTTATATATATGTTTGTATGTATGTACAGACACACACACACACACACAAAGGAAAGGCCATGGGAAAACATAGTGAGAAGGTGGCTGTCTGCAAGTCAGAAAGATATCCCTCACCAGAAACAGAATTTGCCAACACCTTGATATGCATTAAATAACAACTCACCATTTCCTCTTCCCCACAATCTTTAGCAATCACCACTCAACTCAATGCTTCTATAAGCATTTAAACCAATTTAAATACCTCATATAAGTGGAATTATACAACATTTGTACTTCTGTGATTGGTTTATTTTATTAGCTTAATATCTCTAAGGCTCATCCGTGTTGTTACAAGTGGCAGGATTTCCTTCTTTAAGGTTGAATAATACTGAATTATATTTACATACCACATGTTCTTCATTCATCCATCAGTGGGCATTTAGATTATTCCTACATCTGGGCTACTGTGAATAATGCTGCAATGAACATGGGTGGGTGTGCAAATGTCTTTTCAAGATTCTGATTTCAATTCTTTTGGATAAATATCCGGAAGTAGGATTGCTGGATCACATGGTAGTTTTATTTTAACTTTTTGAGGAACTTTCTTACTGCATTTTTCATAATAGTTATGCTCACAAAGGGCATTTGTCTGTATTATTGTTGTTGAATTGGTGTTTTTGTCAAGGAAGTGGGGGGGAGTAGAGACCGGAAATTTCGATTCTGCCATCTTGCTGCTGTCATCCCCTGTATTAGTTTTATCATTATATTTATATATTATTAGTGACCTTGTATTCCTAACTTATTTTAGTGCTCAATTCTTTCTGCATTTAACCTGAGGATACTCATCAGTGGTGCTTACAGCTGTTGAGTTTACCCCCAGTTAAAAAAAGAGACTTACAAAATATAGTAATTTTCTTCCTCTTCTTTTATTATTATTATTATTATTATTTAGTAATTCTCATTAGGGTTAGAGACTAGTTCTCTTTAGAAATAACTCCAAAAACGTTTTTATATTCTATTTTTACATTGAAAACCAGTCAGATTTGCTTCAGCCTCAAAGAGCATGTTCATGTAAAATTACTTTTTTTTCTAAACAGGTAAAAGGTTAAAGATCTATCCTAAAAAGATACACATAGATTTCACTAAGCTGTGAAAGAGTTTTTCATCTGTTTGTGGTCAAACTGAGTCATAAGTAAATTCACAATTCAGCTTTTAAAAGGTAGATAAAGAGTGGAGGAAGTACCCAATTATTGTAATGCCCTGGTTGGTAGATGTTGCATGTTGCTTACATGCATATTTCACTGAAGAGAATTTTCTTACATAGCCATACCTAATTGCAAGGGGGGCTAAAACATGCAGCATTATCGGGGAAGCCATGTGTAATTCTATCACAATGTAGAAAAAAATAACATTGGTGAATTTCATGTAATCCATACCATTACACTCTTGTATCTGGTTCCCCAATACGTTTTCTTTCTTTTGTTCTGAGAACTTATCCATATATTTTCTTGGTTTTTTTGCATAGACAAATTTGTTTCCACCTTTTCCCTCCATCTTTCATAATGTTTTTTTTTTCATCTTGCTGCCTTGACTAAGATCTCCAAAATAATGTTAAATAAAAGCTGTGATATATATAATCCTTGTCTTGCTCCCAATTTAATTGGAATTCTGCTAATTTTTTCCCTATTCGTTGTGATATTTGCCCTAGGTATTCTATGGGCAACCCTTATGAGGTTAAGGAAGTTATGCTCTATTCCTAGTTTATTAGAATGAGCTGAGACTTGTAAGATGAATAGTGATAACCCTCCATAATCTGACCACAGGAATGAATGAATGGATAAAGTTTAGTCTCTAAGGAGATACATGACTTACTTGAGATATAGTGTCTTTCTAATCCCTGTCTTTCCTCTGGAGATATTGATATTCCCTCCAGAACAAGCTCTTATTCAACTTGTTTAACCCAGGAAGTAGTTATAAAGGGATTCATATTACATTTACTCTGGTTTCTGGAGCTAAAGACTCAGCTAGAAAACAGAAACCTGCATATTAAAAGACCCACATTGCATTCCTTCCTGGTTTGGATACCAGCCCAATGTCTGATGTTGACCGACATGATAAAAACAACTAATATGTACAGGGTTTTTTTTAATCAAACTCTGTGATCAGTATACTATATGCTTTGCAACACTAAGTGTTTGCAAAATTCAGATGACATGGATATTATTTGTGTTCCCATTTGATAGATGAGCAAAATAAGGTGTAGGGTTTAAGCGCTTTGCTCAAGATCACAAAACAGTGCCAACAGCATATCTAGGATTGTAATGCAACTTTAGTGAAACAGAATTCCATATTAACAACATGTTTTCTGTACAAGTCACCATCTATCCCTCTCTGGGCTTCCAATTTCTTTCTTTCTTTTTGTTTTAATTTTAGAATCATGTTGGGATTTGTTACATAGGTATATTGCTTGAAAGTGAGATTTAGGCTTCTAATGAGCTGACCAGCCCCTCTAGTGGTGGGCACGGTACCCAATGTGGGGATTTGTATCCCTCATTCCCCCTCCCTCTCTCATTTATCAGTGCCCAATGTCTGTTGCTCCCATCCTCATGTCTGTGTCCAATTTCTTACTCATAAAACCAAAGTGTGAATTCTAACAGGAATAAGTAAACCTCCATGCAAGTGGGTCTAACTAATAAGAAAAAATAGAATGTCGCAGTGCATGTACTTTAAAAAAAATTATTTTACTTTAAAGATGTGGGCTACAATACCGGATTAATCATACAGGTAAAGTTTGGGCCTGCCTTTGGTCCCCACTTTGCCTGGTTTGAGATTGGGTACCCTTATTGATGTTGTGTGTCTCCCCCATCCCCACATGGCTTCCTTAACAGTTTGTGGCTACTATCAATCCCTTTCATATAGTATTATGGTAAATGTTCAGGGTACATTTATGAGTGATAACATGTGGTACTCAGTTCTTTGTTTCTGTGATAAATCACTGAGTATTATAGACTGTAAATTCATCCAAACTGCTGTAAAGTTCATAATTTTGTTCTTCTTTATGGCTGTCTAATATTTCATTGCGTATGTGTACCACATTTTAAAAATTCATTCCAGTTTCGATGGGAAGCACAGTTGGTTCCTTGTTTTTGTTATTTTAAATAGTTCTGTAATAAACATGCGTGTGCATGTATCTTTATTGTGCATGTACTTTTCTAAACATACGTATTTATATTCACCTGGAAGTACAACATCTGCAACAGCACTTATGCATTTGCTACATTATTCCAGTTACTGAAGGGTTTCCACCTTAGGGCTAGAATAGCAGATGCTACCATTCACTGTGCTATTTAAACTGGGCTTTGAATATATATTGCCTGAGATAAAATCTAGTCTGGTGAGTAGAGGTGGGTTGGAATGCACAGGCAGGGAGAGGTTGTAGAAGTATCTGAGAATACAAAAATACCAATCTTCAGTGAAGCAGAGACAAAAAGAAAGACTAACCAGGAGATTCCTACTTGAAAAAGTGGGACAGGGATGCAATATATGGAAAGGAGTGTGATTTGAATACAGAAAAAGAAGGACTATGAAATACAATGTGAATGGATCTTTATTTTTCTACTCTCAGCTTATGAATTAGCAAGATGGAAATTTCTTGGTAGAGCGAGCTCATACAGAGGAGTTCATCTCTCTCTTTTTCTATTGTCCCATTCTTATTTGGTCACAAAAACTAGATCCCTAGCAGTAAGCTGGAACTCAGCCCTGTAGTGGGAGCACCTTTATTCAACCCACCAATGACAATATTGGTAATACCACAGAGAATCCTTCTGATGGGGTAAGGGGAAGGAGGTTGAGAAGTTCACATATAAGACACTGCATCTTTATTGTTTTATATCCATTGATATTGTTATTGGACTATTAGTATATGAGGAACTAACCTGCATTTCAACTATTTTTCAGAGGGCAGAGAAGGGGGAATTTGCCAGCTCAGTCAAATTTCTTAGAGCTAGCTAATTGATGAGAATTTTGACTAAGAAAAAATATACTAACATAGAGCTTTCCCTTAGTTTGGATAATAAGTCACTCATTGACTATCTGAATGTTTGGCCACAGAATTGGCCTCCTCCATAACCAATGCAGTTCTGCCAGGATCCAATCTCTACCAATGCACAAGGGAAGGTAAGTTCAAGCTCACATCAATCACATAAAGCTTTCTTATTTATTTATTTTCCATTGTAATATGCACATGCAATTAACCAATGGCCTCTTTCCCAACTACACTTCTGTTGGGTTCACAACTTTTCCTAGGAAGAGTATGCTCCTGGTGCTTTTCTCCAAAATCATTAGCATGAATGGTCTATCAAACTGTATAATAGGGTGAAGGAGAGTTTTTTCAGGCTGATTCAAGAGTTTGACTTCAGGGACAGCTACAACTTCGGTTCCCTTTTCACCAATGTGCAGCACAGCTTTGTGGGCAGCCTGTGGGGGATGGGAGAATAAACACTGCTGGTCCCCTGAAGAAATAGGAACAGCCTTTAGGAGGGTTTGGAAGTAAAAAAGGAAAGTTGAGGCTACTCCCTTGCCATACTATGGTGATGGTGCTTGAATATGAAGGCTACTTGGCTAAGTGTAGTTAATGAATCTCTGGTAATTTTGGTACTAGCTGTTAGGAAAGCATGTCCTCCTCCATGGCCTTCCGTCTCCAAGTGTCACCTCTTAAGCACTCCTTCCCACCTCCTCCAGAACTGTATCTCATCAGGGTCACTTCTGATCATTAAGTTATTCTATTAGAGTAATTTTAATACATAAAGGTCAGGGATGAAAGGAACTAATAATTGTATTACTTATTTGGGGTAATTATAAGGACTCTGAAGTGATTATGTCCTAGGATGAATCACATCATCTTTCTAGGCATCAGATTTCTCAATGGTACAATAAGAGAACAAAATTAATTGACCTTCAATGACCCTTTTAGCTTATGCATTCAAGGACTCTAATCTACCAACTTACATTGGAAAGTTTCAGACCACTGTCCTCTGTGAATCCAGAAAAATCAGCATTTTCAGCATAAGCATCCTGGATGCCCATCTTCAGAAGGGTAACTCCAAGATCATATGTAGCAGAAATGGAAAACTTTGGAACAAACAAGTCAACCCACCTGTGGGAAAGAGGAAGAGGACACATGGTGATCACCACATCAAGCTCATAATTCCCTCTTCCTATCTCTCTCATCATGGTATTATACTGAACTCTCTTCTCCCTTGTATATTGACAACCATTGCTGTGTAGATTAATACATGGCACCAAAGCACACATGTTCCTCTGGAAAAAATGCACTCTAATTCAGGAGTGTTGGGTCGTATCACTGGAAGTAGAAAGATATAACTCCATTATAATCAAAAGAAGACATCTCTTGGGTGATCTCCAAGGTTGGAAAGCCAGTTGCATGAAAGTCAATGGATAGCACACAGGAACTTTATGATTTTCCATCTTGTACTCCCAATACAGAATGGCTGCCCACCCACCTTTTAACAATGAAATCCAGTCTGTCCCCTAAGCTCTATTTGGTCTCTAAGAAGTCATTGGTTTACTAGCAGGCTCACTTTGAAGAGTTCATTTTATACTTCAAGGACTGACTTCCTTGTTTGAAAAATGTCAATATCACTACATCATTTAGAGGTTTGTTGATGTGCTTAGATGAAATGAAGCGTGTAAAGTGCCCAACAAAGGGCCTGATACATGTGTGTTCTTGGCATATTCTAGTGATCATCACACAAGTGTTAGGTGTTTCAGGGTAATTCTTCTGCTTCTGGGTTTCTGCTGAACTTGGTCTCACTTGTACTATTATGGCCCACCCTTCACCCCTCACATCCTCTGAGTTTACCCCTTCTTCAGTAAGCGGTTCCACTTCTTCAGTGTTTTAGATGACATCACTGCTTCCACCCACTCCAAGTGTCCCTCTCTGGGAAGGACAAAGAGTGCCAGAGCGCTTTTGCTATAGTCCATTTGCAGCACTGTGCAGTTCAGTTCCATATCCACCAGGTGATAGTATTGTTCCATCTGGTGCATCATGGGCACTTGCACTGTAGTAGTCTTGTCCACTAAGAAGCTGGAACTGTCTAATGTCTCGGATGGATCAAAAGGACTTGCCCACTGGGCTTAAAATACAAAGAGAAAAGAGGTGTTTGTTTTAAATCAGTATTAGTACCAACAAGAAATTTTTATTAGTCATCTCATTTGGTAATTAAGACTACCACAGATTTAAGTACCTACAGTCAACCAGTTTTACAAGTAACTGAGGATCAGGAAGAGAAAGTCATTTGACATGGTCTCCCAGCTAATAGATGGTCTCCCAGCTAGCAGGTGGCAGAGCCAGGAATCACACCCAGGGCTGTTGGACTCCATAGTCTATGTTCAAGACTACTATAAGACTACTATGCTTACGCTAAATGCACAGGTCCCACTTTCTTCTTCCATAAAAAGATATAATAACAGCCAACACACAGGGTGGAATGAGACAACAGATCTGTTCTGCCATTTTAGCCATCTGTATGTGTGTGGTTTGTGGTCAACAATTGTTCATTCTTCCAACAAATGTGGATGACAGGTGCTGTAGAGCCAGGAGGAATCGTTTGAGCACAGCACCTTCAGAAAAGAGTCACATGACACCTGTTGTTACAAACACCAGCTTTAGAATCAGACAGACCTGGTTGGGAATACCAGCTCTGAAGCTTATTTGCTGTGTAAACCTGGACCTGTGTGGGGATTGTATGAAACAGTGTGTTTAAACCACACATGCAGCAAAGTGCTTGTTACACTGTGAGTGAATAATACATGATAAAAATATGTAACATGCCTAAGTGTGCACAGCAAGTGAAGATCACAACAGGGTTTAAATACAAATATGTCTATCTGCCAAGTGCAAGCTTGTCCCACCTCACCAAATCTTTTGGAAATTATCATTCTTTAGCCAAATATGAGCAAGGTGTTCATACCATTGTCACCCACCTCTCTGAAAGTGCGCTCTCCCTAGAAATTTCCTGGGCTTATTCACAGAGCTGTGTGTCCTTCCTGGAAGATCCAATACTATTCACAGCTATGTCCAGTGGAGTAGATCACTGCAGTAGGAGGGACACCTACTGATGCCAGTAATAAAAGACCATGAGCTCCCCCCAGTGCTCCACCAAAATATCTAAACCCTAGACTTGAAATTGACATCTTAGAGCCTTACCTTTAAAGTGAATATAGTTCACCAGGACCATGATGGTGTTTGGTTTGAGGTCTTGGATTAGGCCTACAACTTTTCCTTTGGTTTGCTTCTCTACATGATTGTTAATCTCATGCTTGGCTGCAGAAACATTGGAGAAGTCAGTAGCCAAGACTTCAGTCTCATAGAGGGTCTTGATATCATCCATGAACTTAGCCAGTGGTTTTAGTTGCTTCCCAATGAAAAGGGCATTTTCCATCTGCAATTCTAGTTCTTTCTTAGGAAAATTCAGTGAACATATCAGGTACTGGAAGCCATGCTGGATCTCTGCCATTGGCGTGTCTGTGAAATTGAACCCCAAGACTTCCAGGATCTGAGTTTGGGTTCTGGAGCAGGCCCCAAAGGAAAGCATGGCCAAAGCTGCAGAAATGCTCACAGGGGAAAAGAAGATATTCCGATCTGGGGTCTCCACAGTGAACCTCCGGTACAGGTTGAATGCAAAGTCAGCATTGATGGATGACATCTTATAGAGAGTGGCATTTTGTTGGGGTAAATGGCAGGTGGTTACTTTGCTTTCAGAGATGCTAGATGGCACACAATGGATTGTAGCATGAAACTCAAGTACCAAAATAACCAGATAGAGGGCTGTTGACATTTTGGTAGGATGGAAATCTATAAGAAATTATGTGAGAGAACCATTGGGGGACCTTAGTTGAATGAAACACTCTCTGAGCCAGAAACAAATAACAATACTCTCATTGATTAATATAACAATAGTAAATATTTGATGATGTACTGCTCACCAAGGGCTGGGTGGAGGTTTCTCTCCTCTGAAAAATTGGTGATGCAACTAATGTGGGCCGGGAGTATGAGAAGTGACTTGCCAGCACCACAGAAATAATGCCATGAACTCTCATTCAGACATAATGTGACATTATGAACATGCTGTGAATAAATTAAATTTATGAAAATTGAATAACTTTGTATTTGAACTAGAGACAACCTTTTGGAGAGGGAGGAATCCTTAGGCAAAACTAGTACTCCTCTGCTTACATTATTCCTTATAGATTAGAACTTTGAATTTTAAAAAATAATTTGACATTTTCTTAAGATAAAATTGATGGGATGAGATGAGAGGACACCCGCACTTTCTTTGTCTAAAAGACAAAATAAAAATTAATTGTACAATATATGAGTAGTTAGAATGGATGGGTAGTGGTTTATGGAGCCATGTACATGATCCTGAGCTGAAATTCATGTATTTTTGCAATTTATGGAAGCCACGGGAGAATTTTTGAACAATAGGAAAATGAAACTATAATTTTCTGTTTTAGACCTCCTTCATTATCCATCTTACTAAAATCTAAAGAGTCATTTATAAGTTGTAAATCATCTTAACACTATTATCTTTATATTCATTTATGTTACTCTTAATTATTAGAAAGAAAGCCAGAAGGTATGGTGTAAGGCTCTCTGAACCTGGAAAAGTGCAAGGCAATGGAGTAAGGGGATCAGCTATAAAACCCCAAAGAACATAGACATGAGAGTTCAGAAGGAAGAGATCTGTGGAGTCAGAAAAGTACTCCTTTCTCAGCCCTCCATCTTTTCCCGGAGTGATCTCATCCCAGGCATTTAACTATTGAAAACTATACCTCTCTAGTTCAGACTGCTCTCCTGAGTTCTTAGCCATTTATCCAGTTGCCTGATGGATATAGCAAGATGATCCATACAGATCTCAGTCTCAAGAAGGAATATGAAAGTTTCCAGATGTAAACACATCATCTTCGTACCCCTCAAGCTTGCTCCTTTATCTTCGTTCCACAATTCAGTCTGTCACATCACTGTCTATGGAGAACCCCCTGACAGAATCCTGTTAGTCATCCTGGGGGCTTCTCTCATTCTCCTTTCCCAAGTCTAATGAATCTTTATGTACTATGAATACTAACTCCTGAATAACTCTCAAAACTTCTCTCTTGTCATTTCTACTGCCACTGCCTTAGTTCATGGCCTCAACTATTGTGTCAGATCCTAGCAGGACACACTGCTTCCTATTTCCTCCATCTCTATCTCCCTTTTCTACCACCCTATCCAAACTCCATATTATCACCAAAGTCTTCTTTTTTTTTTTTAAAGTCACCGAGGCTACTAGATGGTCAATCATCAGATGACCACACTTAGACCTTGGCCTTTGAAGCTAGGAATTTGGTTTATCTGGGACTCTGACTTGCTGATAGAGATGTTCAAAGTTCCCCAAAAGAAAAAAAAGTACTTACAGCAAATGTCCAAGAAGCCACTTGTATCTCTCAGAAAGCAACACCTTTCCATTTTTATAACATGTCTTGTATTGCAAAACTAGAGTACTTTTAGTTACAAATTAACTCCAATATTAACCCTGGGATGGTATTTTCAAAGCTGATGCACAAAGCCAAGGCCAAGAGGAGCAAAACAAAAAAATGATAAGGTTTGAACTTTGAGTGATTGTTTTAGAGTCCAGATTCTTCATCTAGCCCAGAAGAGAAAAAAGATTGACACTGCTGGAGGGGTTCAGTTCCATGCTAGGAAAAGTGCTTTTTTAGCAGATAGAATTTAGGCTGTAGACAAAAATGCAAAGGGACAGCAGGAAAAAGTTCTCATCGTTAGGCCAGATAGCGCTGGGATTGGTAGCCTTTGAGGGAAAGTGCACACAGGCAGAACCTGGGCGAGCCTCTCTAACAGGTGCTGTAAAAATGAGTTATGCACCAGTAGCGAAGATGATGCCAAAGGTAGCCTCCAACCCTAGACTTCTGATGCTACACACATATATGTCTGCTCAGGAATAAAACCAGTCCTGTCTTCTGGTCACTAAAATTCCTTGTACCTCCCTTGGCCATAGGATTCTAAAAGAGGATGAAGAAAGAACCAAGGAGGATAAAAATCAAAAATTTCACTGTCCAGTATTAATTGTGTACCATGCAAAGAAGCAATCGAAAACAACAACAAAAACTGGACTCAGTCAAGAGACCTGAGTTCAAACTTGCCTCTGCCAGTTTATAGCCCTAGTATTAGTAGCAGTAGTGATAATAGCAACTCCTGCTGCTGTGTATTTACCATATACAGGACATTTTGTGAAGCCAGCTTCAGCACTACACTAAAATGTATGTGTTGTTGTTGGGAAGGATAGGCAGGGAAAAGAGGCTAGCATGAGCTAAGCCTAGATGCAGTCTATGGGGACTTGGAAGCCAGGATGAATAGTGCAGACTTTAGCCTGAGGACATTGGGAAACCACTGAGGGACTTTGACAAGGCAGCGACTAGAGAGAGGGTGATTCTGTGTAGCATTATTTCCTCTCAACCAGACATGGACTGAACTTATATAATATGGAAAGAACCACATTCAGCAATGGGATTTCAGAAGTGAATATTAAACATCTATCAGTCCTGAATCCAAAGGATCTTTCTAGTTAACTGGCATCCGCTATTCAAATTGAACAGAAGGCACATTTCACATATGGGATGGTCACTGGTACAAGTGTCCCAAAGAAAGGCAGTGGCATGCTCAGTTTCTCTGGACTGTGAGTCAGTTCATATTCATTCCTGGTAATACAGCATATTGTGTGTTTTGTAGATACAGTAAGTCCCTGCAGAAGAAACAGAAAAACAAAAACAAAAACAAAAACAAAACTACCTAAAAAGGAAACTTCCAAACTTGTGCCCTCTGGTGGCATAGTCAGACAATGGCCCAAGTTGTTTTCTGCTGCTTCTGATTCAGCTGAGCTTTGCTAGCAGGTAGAAACTGCATGGCTTGTCTCTGACATATGAGAAAGTCACCTTACATTCTACAATATGCCCTCCTTTGTGCTCTTTTGTCACAGGTACTAGGCCGTGCTCCTGTTTTGTCTTTGCTATGTAGCAACTGCAATTTGGGGAAGTTATCTAATATCTTTAAACTTCAATTTCCTCAACTCTGAAGTTAAAATAATCACTTCTACATCATATGGTTACTGGGAGAAATAAATTAAATTTAGAGATGGTGTCCAGAAACTCCTATAGTAGTGCTTGGAGAATACTGTAGATTCAGGAACTGCTAATTCTCTTCCCTTTCATCTGCTGTCTTGATACCCTTCCCTCACCTCAAATCAACATGGTCACTGGGCTTTATCCTCACTCCCCACTGCTGTTCAGCTTTGCTTTCTCCAGATGCACTCTCCCTAAGTTGCAATTGATTGATAAGATATAAGATCTTCTTGCAAACTTATATTTAACACAGTAATTTTAGTCTTGTTTAAAGCTGCTAGAGCTAGAACATTAAAGACTCTAGGAAGTGTTAACATATCGATAAATTCAGTCAGCTCTAAAATGATGTATCTCCTTGTTTGGATGAACGCCACCATTATCCATTCTCACACAAATTACTTAGAATTTTATTTTAGAAATATTCACAGTACCACAGTTCTTTTAGTGTGGAAACACTTTTTTCACTGTTTTGACTTGATATTTGATCCTGCATCCCAGTCTGGAGGGAAATGATGGAATCTTACTCTCCTTATAAATCTGAGGACAATAATACATGGGAGGAGGTAGTGGCATTAGGAAAACTGGCTTTCTATAGCAATTTATGTCTCACCATCAGGGAAATTACTGGGTCTTTAAGCAAAGGATAAATAGCCTTGTTGGACAAAGGAAAGGACTGCTTCTGTTGGCAAGGGATGGACAGTGAGGATTTGGGATTGAGGTTCTTTTAACTGTCTCAATGTTCTTATTTTTGAGTTTTTTGCTCTTTATTTCAGTGACTAACTTTAACAAAAGTGACCTATCAATGCTGACAAATAAATTCCATAATTTGGTAATTCACTGGATCAAATGTTAACTATAAGATTCGGGTAATTTAGTCATTCAGACATCCTATTTACATGTCGCCTAGATTCATTTTATTCCTTGAGCATTTAAGTCAAAAGTTTAGAGTTTTGAGAATGTCATTCTTGTTTTAAGCCTTCTAGTGCCATCAGAGGTGTCCACTTCATGCCACAATCTATGAACTACATACATTCCTCAAAGTTCTCTGGGGCATCAATGAGATCTTCCAAAGATTCTACATTTCAGATGATTACTTAATTAATTGACATCATTTCATTCCATAAGATGCCATATTTCTCTTCTAGAACACAAATGGAGTTTTTAACTGCCTTTAGGCATACTAGGCCATAATTGCCACAATTGCCACAATTTCAAAGTTTTACAATTTCCAAAAATTTTGCTGCATAAAACCTAATTTCTGTTATCTAAGTCAGAATCAGTTACAGTACTTGACTCAAAAAACAGTAACTACTGTTGGTTAACCTTAACATAAAAGACATATATTGGAGGATATGGCTTTACTGAAAATTAAAAGGAAGGCCAGAAAAACTTTTTCATTTTGCAAGGAGGGAGCTATGGGGACAGAAGTATGAATCTCCCTTGCTTCACGGGCATTGGTTAATGGTTTGCCTGCATGTCCCTTGGAAAGGACATAATTGTAACATAGGTGACAAAGAAGTGTGAGGAAGAGGTATATGTGGTGACCTCTATAAATAAGCATATAGTGTGAAGATATTTGCATCTTATGTGAATACTCACCAAAGAGCAACCTCAGCATAGTTAGAAGTTTAATAACCTGCTAGATAAGATAGTGCATTCTGTGGATGTCAGCCTCTTTCCAAGACATTCCCGTATTTGCTTCATGGGTTTATGAATAAAATGCAATCATAAAAGTTTTTCTGGCCTTCCTTTTAATTTTCAGTAAAGCCATATCCTCCAATATATGTCTTTTATGTTAAGGTTAACCATGGGTTTATGAATAAAATGTATTCATAAACCCATGAAGCAAATACAGGAATGTCTATCAGACAAGATGAATTTTACAAATGGACTCAGAAACACGGACATCCACATATCAATGTCAATCTAGCTTCAGCTTCAGCAGATACCAAAACTGAGATTCAAATATGATACCATCCATCAGTGGGACTGGCAAGCTACTTGTTTTGAGCTTAATTACATTCGACCATTTCTGTGAAATGAGCATTATTTTATTCTCATGAGAATGCAAACTGACTCTAAGTGTGACTTTGCCTTTCTTGCCAGCAAAGTTTGTGCCAAAACTACCATCTGAGGACTTAATGACTACATTATTCACCATCATGGTATTGGGCACAGAGTCCCTTTTGACCAAATTACTAATTTCACATCAAACTATGGCAATAGGCAAATACTCATAAAATTCATTAGGCACTACTATCTTTCCCATAACTCTGAAGCACCTGGCTTCAGAGAGCAGAATGGCTTTAATGACTCAGTTCCAGAGCCAGCTAGGTGACAACATCTTGCAGAACTGGGCCATGTCTTCTGAGATGTGATATATGCTCTAAGTCAATGTCCAAAATATGATACTGTTTCTCTCATATTCTGAAATCACAGGTTAGATAATCAAAGAGTGAAAATGAGTGTAAGTCTATTCATTATTCCCCTAGTAAAATTTTGGTTTCACATTTCTGTTTTCTAGGTTTTCCTGATTCAGAGGTCTTAATTCAAAGGGTTGCATAATTTTACCATAGGGTGCAACAATTCTATTGAATTTGTAGCTGAGATTGCCATCTGGCCACTTTAGGCAATTCATGCTATTGAATAAATAGCAAAATAAGAGTTATAGCACTTGATGGAGTGGTAGATCTTGAATATCAAGAGAAAATTTTATTAATGCAGACAATGAATATCTGTAATGCAGGTGTTTCCTAGAGATGCTTCTTAGTACTCCCATGTTCTATGACTAGAGTTAATAAGAAATTACAACAACCCATACAAGCAGGACTTATAATGGCTCAGACTGTCCAGAAATGAAGATTGGGTCACCCCACCAGGCAGGGAAGCTCATTCAGCTGAAGTGCTGATTGAAGAAAACGGAATCTGAAATGGCTTAATGGAAGAAGATAGTTAAGAAGGAAGTTGAAAAAAGTTAATGGGGGGTGGAAGCAGGATGGCCACCTTGGAGTAGCAGATCCATGCTGCTCTCACTTAGAAAGACAGACAGCTGGGATTTCACCAACATTAGATGGAGATATTCCGAGCATTTTTGGACAGGTTAAAAATCTTGAACCCAGCGAAGATCTCTCTGAGCAAGAGTCCAGAAAGTCATGACAGGCACAGAATTCCAGGTGCACCACTTCCTGTCCTGCACCAGGCAAGAACAGAAAAGGATGATCTGTGCAGAGAAAGAGAGTGGTGAATTGATTCAAAGAGGTTTTGAATCAATTCACCCCTCCCAACAGTGTGTGAAACAACAGTTT